TGGTGGGAGGTCAGGTGCACCTCCAGGTCACCAGGCAGGGTGGTGGTGGGTGGTCAGGTCCACCTCCAGGTCACCAGGCAGGGTGGTGGGTGGTCAGGTGCACCTCCAGGTCACCAGGCAGGGTGGAGGGTGGTCAGGTCCACCTCCAGGTCACCAGGCAGGGTGGTGGGTGGTCAGGTACACCTCCGGGTCACCAGTCACCAGGCAGGGTGGTGGGAGGTCTGGTGCACCTCCAGGTCACCAGGCAGGGTGGTGGGTGGTCAGGTGCACCTCCAGGTCACCAGACAGGGTGGTGGGTGGTCAGGTGCACCTCCGGGTCACCAGACAGGGTGGAGGGTGGTCAGGTCCACCTCCAGGTCACCAGGCAGGGTGGTCCACCTGGGTGGTGGGTGGTCAGGTGCACCTCCAGGTCACCAGGCAGGGTGGAGGGTGGTCAGGTCCACCTCCAGGTCACCAGGCAGGGTGGTGGGAGGTCAGGTCCACCTCCAGGTCACCAGGCAGGGTGGTGGGTGGTCAGGTCCACCTCCGGGTCACCAGGCAGGGTGGAGGGTGGTCAGATGCACCTCCAGGTCACCAGGCAGGGTGGAGGGTGGTCAGGTCCACCTCCAGGTCACCAGGCAGGGTGGTGGGTTGTCAGGTGCACCTCCGGGTCACCAGGCAGGGTGGAGGGTGGTCAGGTCCACCTCCAGGTCACCAGGCAGGGTGGTGGGTGGTCAGGTGCACCTCCGGGTCACCAGGCAGGGTGGTGGGAGGTCAGGTCCACCTCCAGGTCACCAGGCAGGGTGGTGGGAGGTCAGGTGCACCTCCAGGTCACCAGGCAGGGTGGTGGGTGGTCAGGTGCACCTCCGGGTCACCAGGCAGGGTGGAGGGTGGTCAGGTCCACCTCCAGGTCACCAGGCAGGGTGGTGGGAGGTCAGGTCCACCTCCAGGTCACCAGGCAGGGTGGTGGGTGGTCAGGTCCACCTCCGGGTCACCAGGCAGGGTGGAGGGTGGTCAGGTGCACCTCCAGGTCACCAGGCAGGGTGGTGGGTGGTCAGGTCCACCTCCAGGTCACCAGGCAGGGTGGTGGGAGGTCAGGTCCACCTCCAGGTCACCAGGCAGGGTGGTGGGAGGTCAGGTGCACCTCCAGGTCACCAGGCAGGGTGGAGGGTGGTCAGGTGCACCTCCGGGTCACCAGGCAGGGTGGAGGGTGGTCAGGTCCACCTCCAGGTCACCAGGCAGGGTGGTGGGAGGTCAGGTGCACCTCCAGGTCACCAGGCAGGGTGGTGGGTGGTCAGGTGCACCTCCAGGTCACCAGGCAGGGTGGTGGGTGGTCAGGTGCACCTCCGGGTCACCAGACAGGGTGGTGGGTGGTCAGGTGCACCTCCAGGTCACCAGACAGGGTGGAGGGTGGTCAGGTGCACCTCCAGGTCACCAGACAGGGTGGTGGGTGGTCAGGTGCACCTCCAGGTCACCAGGCAGGGTGGTGGGTGGTCAGGTGCACCTCCGGGTCACCAGGCAGGGTGGAGGGTGGTCAGGTGCACCTCCAGGTCACCAGGCAGGGTGGTGGGTGGTCAGGTGCACCTCCGGGTCACCAGACAGGGTGGTGGGTGGTCAGGTGCACCTCCGGGTCACCAGGCAGGGTGGTGGGTGGTCAGGTGCACCTCCAGGTCACCAGACAGGGTGGAGGGTGGTCAGGTCACACTTAGTATGGATATAAACAGTCTGAATGGTAACGAGAATATTGGAAGTGATGGTAACGCCGCTCACTATCATTACCACACGAACATATTACCACCTAATTGGCTGGTGCGGCTGCACACAGTCGTAGAGGCTCACCGCAGCCCAGTAACAGTAAGGAGAAGATATGACACGCAGGAAACATTTCACAGCCTGGAGGCCACTTCCACCCACCAAGGCTTTCCCAGAACGATTGTAAATTTCTTTTGAAAATTATCTGATTTTGATTTGGTTTTGTGATTGGCTTAAGGCCTCTGAACCTCGTCAAGGGTTATTAAACCAATCACAGTTGCCTGCTGAACCACTAGCAAGTATTCTTCTGTCGCAAACTAAAATATTAATATATACTTAGAATATACCCTTATGAGTATACCTTGTATGATGATATAATCTCATTATTTAAAGCCGGCAAAGTAATTCAGTTATGGTAAGCTTAACAAAAAGTTGTAAATATTATCTTTAATGTTCTTAAATAAACTGCTGCAGATTGTTAAAATACTTATAAAATTAATTTGAATTGTTCTTTTCTCATTTAACTTAGTTTATAAATAAATAAAAAATGCTTGGAACCTACAGATGGATTATATTATGGGTGAAAATATCCCACAACGACCACAACGACCTTACCTTCAGTGGTAAGGGCGTTGTATTCCACTGCTACAACGACCTTACCTTCAGTGGTAAGGGCGTTGTATTCCACTGCTACAATGGAATACGATATCAGCCAGTGCTGCACTGTGCTATGATAGCAGGTTGGTGAGGTGCTTCGCTATCTGAACCCGCGATGTTATTACCTTTAAACGAAACTTTAGATCTCAGCCTGAAACCTGATCATATTGTAATTTATGCGACTTGAGAACACTTTCACATTACCTGGAGAGTGATGTATACACACTGAGAGATGTATACCCCAGCTTCTCGGTGTATATACACTGAGAGGTGTATACCCCAGCTTCTCGGTGTATATACACTGAGAGGTGTATACCCCAGCTTCTCGGTGTATATACACTGAGAGGTGTATACCCCAGCTTCTCGGTGTATATACACTGAGAGGTGTATACCTCAGCTTCTCGGTGTATATACACTGAGAGATGTATACCTCAGCTTCTCGGTGTATATACACTGAGAGGTGTATACCTCAGCTTCTCGGTGTATATACACTGAGAGGTGTATACCCCAGCTTCTCGGTGTATATACACTGAGCGGTGTATACCCCAGCTTCTCGGTGTATATACACTGAGCGGTGTATACCCCAGCTTCTCCCTATATATACACTGAGCGATGTGTATCCAGCTTCTCGGTGTATATACACTGAGAGGTGTATACCCCAGCTTCTCCCTGTATATACACTGAGCGGTGTATACCCCAGCTTCTCGGTGTATATACACTGAGCGGTGTATACCCCAGCTTCTCGGTGTATATACACTGAGAGGTGTATACCCCAGCTTCTCGGTACATATACACTGAGCGGTGTATACCCCAGCTTCTCGGTGTATATACACTGAGAGGTGTATACCTCAGCTTCTCGGTGTATATACACTGAGAGGTGTATACCCCAGCTTCTCGGTGTATATACACTGAGCGGTGTATACCCCAGCTTCTCGGTGTATATACACTGAGCGGTGTATACCCCAGCTTCTCGGTGTATATACACTGAGCGGTGTATACCCCAGCTTCTCGATATATATACACTGAGAGATGTATACCCCAGCTTCTCGGTGTATATACACTGAGAGATGTATACCCCAGCTTCTCGATGTATATACACTGAGAGGTGTATACCCCAGCTTCTCGGTGTATATACACTGAGCGGTGTATACCCCAGCTTCTCGGTGTATATACACTGAGAGGTGTATACCCCAGATTCTCGGTGTATATACACTGAGAGGTGTATACCTCAGCTTCACGGTGTATATACACTGAGAAGTGTATACCCCAGCTTCTCGGTGTATATACACTGAGCGGTGTATACCCCAGCTTCTCGGTGTATATACACAGAGAGGTGTATACCCCAGATTCTCGGTGTATATACACTGAGAGGTGTATACCCCAGCTTCTCGGTGTATATACACTGAGCGGTGTATACCCCAGCTTCTCGGTGTATATACACTGAGAGGTGTATACCTCAGCTTCTCGATATATATACACTGAGAGGTGTATACTCCAGCTTCTCGGTGTATATACACACTGAGAGGTGTATACCCCAGCTTCTCAGTGTATATACACTGAGCGGTGTATACCCCAGCTTCTCGGTGTATATACACTGAGAGGTGTATACCTCAGCTTCTCGATATATATACACTGAGAGGTGTATACCCCAGATTCTCGGTGTATATACACTGAGCGGTGTATACCCCAGCTTCTCGGTGTATATACACTGAGCGGTGTATACCCCAGCTTCTCGGTGTATATACACTGAGAGGTGTATACCTCAGCTTCTCGATATATATACACTGAGAGGTGTATACTCCAGCTTCTCGGTGTATATACACACTGAGAGGTGTATACCCCAGCTTCTCAGTGTATATACACTGAGCGGTGTATACCCCAGCTTCTCGGTGTATATACACTGAGAGGTGTATACCTCAGCTTCTCGATATATATACACTGAGAGGTGTATACTCCAGCTTCTCGGTGTATATACACACTGAGAGGTGTATACCCCAGCTTCTCGGTGTATGTACACACTGAGAGATGTATACCCCAGCTTCTCGGTGTATACACACTCAGAGGTGTATACCCCAGCTTCTCGGTGTATATACACACTCAGAGGCTGTCTAGGCGGTGAACTATATTGGAAGCTGAAGAACCTATCGTGGCCGGGCTCGGGGAGCAGAAGAGCGCCCGGAGGCCCATCCAGGTATGGTAGGTATTGCTATGTCTTGCCTCAATAATCTATTCAAGATTTTAAGCCCAATACCTACACCAGAGGAACCGATTCAATATTGAATATAATAAATACAATTAGAGGTGAGTAACTAAATAATCGCAGCTTAACCAGGCACAGTACATTATGCATAAGAGAATGCATACACACCGTTTGCAATGGTCATAGAAATACCTTTAACTTAGCGCCAATATGACTCAGAAAGCTGCGCTGCCATTGCAACATGTTCATATCATGTTAAACTCAATATATTAATGCAACTGAATAAATCACCCCGTTAATTTGACTCATGAAGCTCTGGGAAACGGACTTGAGTTTATTTGTTTTTATCATATCTGGATTATAATCGGAAAAGACACCTTGAAATGTCAGTGTTAATTTAACAGTTTGATAAATGACTTTTCCTTGTGAAGTAACTCCTGACCAGACCATGTACTCAGACCTTGATAATGTCCTCAAGACAGTACCCTCGGGACAGTGCCCTCAGGTCAGTGCCCTCGGGACAGTGCCCTCAGGTCAGTGCCCTCGGGACAGTGCCCTCAGGTCAGTGCCCTCCAGTGCCCTCGGGACAGTGCCTTCCGGTCAGTGCCCTCGGGACAGTGCCCACAGGACAGTGCCGTCAGGACAGTGCCCTCAGGACTGTGCCCTCGGGACAATGCCCTCAGGTCAGTGCCCTCGGGACAGTGCCTTCCGGTCAGTGCCCTCGGGACAGTGCCCTCAGGTCAGTGCCCTCGGGACAGTGCCCACAGGACAGTGCCGTCAGGACAGTGCCCTCAGGACAGTGCCGTCAGGACAGTGCCCTCAGGGCAGTACCCTCGGGACAGTGCCCACAGGACAGTGCCCTCGGGACAGTGCTCTCAGGTCAGTGCCCACAGGACAGTACCCTCGGGACAGTGCCCTCAGGTCAGTGCCCTCGGGACAGTGCCCACAGGACAGTGCCCTCGGGACAGTGCCCTCGGGACAGTGCCCTCAGGACAGTGCCCTCGGGACAGTGCCCTCAGGTCAGTGCCCTCGGGACAGTGCCCTCAGGTAAGTGCCCTCGGGTCAGTGCCCTCGGGACAGTGCCCTCAGGTCAGTGCCCTTGGGACAGTGCCCACAGGACAGTGCCCTAAGGACAGTGCCGTCAGGACAGTGCCCTCAGGACAGTGCCCTCAAGGCAGTACCCTCGGGACATGTCGGAAAATCCGACACCATTTAATATATCATACAGACAGATAAGAGCTGTGTTGTATAAGCAAGTTAACCCATAGAAAACGTAACTTGTAGTGGAATTACCGTCTAAAGAAAACGGGATATCATCACCACATACTATTATAATTCACCACCTATTATGGTGGGAATTATTCTTAAATACATTAGTCTTTGGACTTTACCATCAGAAAAACATCTCATATAAATTAACTTAATTATCAATATTAAAGTAGAGTAAATGTGACCCTTCTATCACTTTCTGAAATCTGGACAATGTAAGCCAGGCGTCAGGGAGGAAGGAGGGCAGCCATTGTTGTTTATACTAGACCAGAGGCTCACAGGAGCAAATGCGGCTCCTGTTAATTTTACTTGGACGTAGTGTTATGGAAACCAAGGGTGTACCATTTTCAACACGCTGTCAACAAATCAAGTTAAGTGTTATTTCCGAAACCCGTTTATTTTCATTTATGGCCATTAATGTCATTATATAGGGTGATCCGGTTAGAGCACGTGGGAGCCTCAAACTAAAGGTAATTAAGCCAGGTCTTTAAGGTTCCATGTATAGTGTTTTCTCTTATATAACTTGTCATATATAGGTTTCTGGTTTTACAGCTAGCGCCCTTTTAACAGGTCAAGACGAGGAAGGCTTTGTGCATCAGTTACTGGGTGATGGAAGCTACCTCAAAGAGGATAATTTGGTGTCTACACCCTAGTTATACCTGGTGGACTAACCTGCTGTACTATAAGATAAGGAACCTTTTCAATGTATGTAGTTAATACTGTAGTTTGATTGGCTGCATCTATATACAATTAATATAAACCCCCCCTAATGTGTAGAGGATCGATTTGTGAGATTATGAGATTATTGCAGAAATACAGTCCACTTATCATTATACAAATTGCTATCGAAGTATATAAATTAACGTAAATATAAATTCATATAAATTAAATAAATATAAATCTCACAGGTCGGTTCCCACAGGACAGTGCCCTCGGGACAGTGCCCTCAGGTCAGTGCCCACAGGACAGTACCCTCGGGACAGTGCCCTCAGGACAGTACCCTCAGAGCAGTGCCCTCAGGTCAGTGCCCTAAGGACAGTGCCATCAGGACAGTGCCCTAAGGACAGTGCCGTCAGGACAGTGCCCTCAGGACAGTGCCGTCAGGACAGTGCCCTCAGGGCAGTACCCTCGGGACAGTGCCCACAGGACAGTGCCCTCGGGACAGTGCCCTCAGGTCAGTGCCCACAGGACAGTACCCTCGGGACAGTGCCCTCAGGTCAGTGCCCTCGGGACAGTGCCCACAGGACAGTGCCCTCGGGACAGTGCCCTCAGGTCAGTGCCCTAAGGACAGTGCCGTCAGGACAGTGCCCTCAGGGCAGTACCCCCAGGACAGTGCCATAGTTGGAGGCTCTCAAATGGGTGTTCGACTTTACAAACAGAGATGCTAGCCATTCAAAAGGCTTTGGAACATGCTCTTACTCAACACCGACAACATGTTATCATACATACAGATTCGAGAACCGCCATTGAAACCTTGCAACAAGAACACATATGTGATAACATACATCTGATCACAAATATAATATCATTAATGCAAACTCTCAAACGACAAGGCCGATGGGTACTTATCAACTGGGTGCCAAGTCATGTGGGAATAATAAGAAATAACATTGCAGACGAAGCTGCAAAACTTGCAACTAAGAGGAGAAATGTATACATTAACATACCACAGAGTCTATCACAGATTAAGAAAGTAATTAGAAACAGAGCAATGCAAAAGATGTACAGTGACCACAACACAGCAGTTGAAACATCACGATCTGCGGGTTGGTACAAGACTTCAACTAACAACGAACCACTTAGATTGATGAAAGGGAACAGTAGAGCAACAACACTTACATCGCATCAGGCTTGGATACCCATGTGCATGGGAAATAGGCTTACAGGTTTCGGAAGATGAGAGGAAATGTCAGCACTGTGGAGAAATGCCCAACAGACCACTGGAACATTATCTAACACAGTGCACAGTTACAAACCCATTAAAATTTCAACTTACATTCAACAGAGCAGAAGAAGTTGTTAAACACATGGGGCAAAATCTGACTGAGGCGACCTTACGAGTCATAAATACTCATACTCCGCCCAAGTAAAACAGAAACAAGCAACACATAGTGGGCCAGCCAGAGGCTTAGGGCCCGCCCAGTGGGCCAGCCAGAGGCTTAGGGCCCGCCCAGTGGACCAGCAAGAGGCTTAGGGCCCGCCCAGTGGGCCAGCAAGAGTCTTAGGGCCCGCCCAGTGGGCCAGCAAGAGGCTTAGGGCCCGCCCAGTGGGCCAGCAAGAGGCTTAGGGCCCGCGCAGGAATATCCCTGAAAAAAGGACAGTGCCCTCAGGACAGTACCCTCAGGACAGTACCCTCAGGACAGTGCCCTCATGTCAGTACCCTCAGGTCAGTACCCTCAGGACAGTGCCCTCATGTCAGTACCCTCAGGACAGTGCCCTCAGGACAGTGCCCTCAGGACAGTGCCCTCATGTCAGTGCCCTCAGGACAGTACCCTCAGGACAATGCCCTCAGGGCAATGCCCTCAGGACAGTGCCCTCAGGACAGTACCATCAGGACAGTGTCCTCAGGACAGTGCCCTCAGGACAGTAGCCTCAGGACAGTGCCCTCAGGACAGTACCCTCAGGAAAGTGCCCTCGGGACAGTGCCCTCAAGTCAGTGCCCTCAGGACAATACCCTCAGGAAAGTGCCCTCAGGACAGTACCCTCAGAGCAGTGCTCTCAGGACAATGACCAAGGACAGTGCCCTTAGGACAGTGCCTTCAGGACAATGACCAAGGACAGTGCCCTCAGGACAGTGCCTTCAGAGCAGTGCCCTCAAGACAGTACCCTCAGGACAGTGCCCTTGGGACAGTGCCCTCAGGACAGTGCCATTGGGACAGTGCCCTCAGGACAGTGCCCTCGGGTCAGTGCCCCCGGGACAGTGCCTGGTAGGACTTAATGCAGTTCAAATCTTTACATGAAATACGTAAATACTTAAGTGTGGGCTTTTGTTGCTATCTTCTTATGTCTGTGATAGCACATTGCTATAACCTAATTTGCTTAAATTTCAGTAAAAGGATCAAAGGTATCAAGACTGCAGAGGAAACAGCCCAAGTCACGTGGAGAGAACTGCGGAAGTGATTAATTTGTGTTTCATAATGTTAGAAATATTTATTGTTAATCAGTTCTCCGTCAGTTTGTTGCGTAATGCTTTTAACTGCCATCAGAATTGCGTCACATATCACGATAACACGATAAAGCTTCGTATCTGAACGTTACTCCTCAACTTTGTGTTACTGATGAAAATAAATTCTTTAATAAACACGTTTAATCTTGTCTCAGTGTTAGCTAAATATTGTACTTTTATTTTACACAACTAAGTTTACACAACTTTACACAAATTTGCCCGAAACGCATTGCGTAATAGTGGCTTTAGGCATTGTATGTACTAGCTCTATCTATATATCAATCCATTAATGTAACATCACTTGTATGTATGAACCTTACCTGAATAAACATATTTATTTTATTTCAGTACAGGAGCCGAAGACTTCTTAGGCTAATTATCTACGAGTTAATTATCTAGGTAGCAGGGGCGAATAATTAAGAATTCGGTTCCCAGATAACCCTCAAAATAAACACCAAATCAGTCTGGAATACTCACCTCAGTTTGTATTCTGATTCCTGAGAACTATATGATCAACATGAGGGCCTCGTAGCCTGGTGGATAGCGCGCAGGACTCGTAATTCTGTGGCGCGGGTTCGATTCCCGCACGAGGCAGAAACAAATGGGCAAAGTTTCTTTCACCCTGAATGCCCCTGTTACCTAGCAGTAAATAGGTACCTGGGAGTTAGTCAGCTGTCACGGACTGCTTCCTGGGGGTGAAGGCCTGGTCGAGGACCGGGCCGCGGGGACACTAAAGCCCCGAAATCATCTCAAGATAACATGCAAAGAGGAGCTTTGTGAGTCATTGTCTATCATATTTAATAAATCATTAGAGTCGAGCAGAGTGCCAGAGTCGTGGAAGGTTGCTAATGTGACATCAATTTTTAAGAAAGAAGATAGATTCACTTACATCAAACTATCGGCTAATTAGCTTAACCTCTATTTGTGGGAAAGTTACTTGAATCGATATTTGCAAATACCATTTGTCTTCATCTTGAAAAGCATGAATTATTAAATGATTCCCAACATGGTTTTACAAATGGCCGTTCATGTTTAACGAATTTGGTGTCTTTTACTCTAGCATAGTTGATGCAGTTGATAGTGGTAAGGTTTGTTATGTTGTGAATCTTGACTTTAGCAAGGTTTTTGATACAGTGCAACATGGAAGACTGATTAAAAAGATAGAGGTTCATGGTATTGAGGGTGCAATATTTAGTTGGATTAGGGCATGGATATACAAAAAAGAGAGAGTTAGTGTAAATGGGGATAAGTTAGTGTGGGAAAATGTTGTGAGTGGAGTGTCTCAAGGTTCTGTCCTGAAGTTTTGAGGCTAGGTAATGATGATAAGAGTTACAAGATACGAGCTACATGGTGTTGAGATTGCGAAAAGGATCTGGGAGTTGATTAGTAAGAATTTAAAACCAAAAAATCAGTGTATGAATGTTCATAATAGGGAATATGGGAATTGATTTGGAGGAAGGAGATAATAAAAGTATGTGTTTGGGGGAGAAAGGAATTGGCAAAATGATCAGGGAAATTGAAGGGCCTCAAAATAACAATTCACTTAGGGTATATTACACTAACAGTAGAAGTCTAAGAAATAAAATATACGAATTAAATGCTCTTGTCTGCACAGAAAAAATAGATATTATCGCGCTTACCGAAACGTGGATGAATGTAGAAAATAGAGAACTATTAGCTGAATATCAAATAAATGGATTTAAACTATTTCACACAGATAGATATATTAGACGAGGAGGGGGAGTAGCCATATACGTTAGGGACAATTTGAAATGTAGTCTCAAAGAGGGAATCAAGTCTGAGCCACACACAGAAACTATTTGGATAGAATTAAACGAAAAAGCAAATAATATTATAATAGGAGTTATATATAGGCCACCAAATTTAGACAGAATGGAAGCAAAGCATCTATGGGATGAAATATCTGGAGCATCTAGATCTAACAGTATTTACGTCATGGGTGACTTTAATTTTAGTGGAATAAACTGGGTGAACAAAACAGGGAATAATGAAGAAGAAGATTTGCTAGAATTAATTGACGATTGCTTTCTTACGCAACACATTAAGGAACCAACGCTGGAAAATAATATTTTTGATTTATTGTTAAATAACAGGGAAACACTAAGGACATCGAAATAGGGAATGAGCTAGGGAATAGTGATCATAAAGAAATCAGATTTAGCATAGAATGGAATAGATCTGTAGGAGAAAATTCTGTTAAAGTACCTGATTTTCGAAAAGCTAATTTCAATAACCTAAGAAATTTATTGGGTCAAATAGATTGGAAAGTCTTGGATATGGGGTGTGGGCCGGTCTTAGAGCTAGACGTGAACCCAGCGATAGGTGACGTAAAAGGGGTTTTCGATGTGGTCTCAAAATATAACCTATTTAAAAATATTCTAAGCAAAGCCCAGGAATGTAGTATACCATATAAATTGCATAGATCGAATACTAATGATCCAAAGTGGATAACAATGGATCTGAAGAACCTTATTGGTAAAAAGAGAGCGTGGTACAAAAGGATTAAGAATGGGGAAGTCAGTTTAGAACAGGAATTCGTACAACTGGTTAGAAATACTAAAAAAGAGATGAGGAAAGCAAAAAGAAACTATGAAGTTCGCATAGCAGAGCAAGCAAAGTCAAATCCTAAAGGGTTTTTCCAGTTATACCGGACAAAGATTAGGGAGAGGATAGGTCCATTAAAAACTGAGACAGGTCAAATAACAGATAATGATGAAGAGATGAGTAGTATTTTAATAAATATTTTATATCTGTATTTACTAAAGAGGAACTTAACAATATGCCTTCAGCCGAACAAGTCTATGTGGGTGGGGACGAGGACAGGTTGACGAGTTTAGCAGTTACCAGGGAGGATGTTCTTAAACAAATAGTTAAACTCAAACCAAACAAATCCCCAGGGCCGGATGAAGTGTTTGCCAGGGTGCTTAAAGAATGCAAAGAGGAGCTTTGTGACCCACTGTCAACCATATTTAATAAATCAATAGAGTTAGGCAGAGTGCCTGTGTTATGGAAAGTTGCTAATGTGATACCAATTTTTAAGATAGGAGATAGATCACTTGCGTCAAACTATCGACCAATTAGCCTAACGTCTATTGTAGGAAAGTTACTTGAATCGATAATTGCAAAATAAAATTCGTCTTCATCTTGAAAAACACAAATTAATAAATGAGTCGCAACATGGTTTTACAAATGGCCGTTCATGTTTAACAAATTTGCTATCTTTTTATTCCAGCATAGTTGAGGCAGGTGATAGTGGTAAGGATTGTGATGTCGTGTACCTTGACTTTAGCAAAGCTTTTGATACGGTGCCACATGAAAGACTGATTAAAAAAATAGAGGCTCAGGGTATTGGAGGTGCTATATTATGCTGGATTAGGGCATGGCTATTCCAAAGGAAATAGAGAGTTAGTATAAATGGGGTTAAGTCAGGGTGGTGCACTTCAAATACTAGGACAAAAACAGTGGAAAGATAATGTGGAAATAATTACCACCATTTTGTATCTTGAAGCAGTCGCTAAAGGCAAAGGACTCAACATAACTTTAAACTGGATCCCATCCCATATTGGAATCCCATTAAATGAAAAAGCTGATGAAATTGCTATATTGGCAACTCGTCATCCAGTGATACATAAAACAATTCAACACAGCCTAGAGAACATAAAAAACATCATCACCAAAAAACTCTCACATCTCAACAAAGCCTACCTGCACCAGAGAATAGCTGAAGGTTCGCCATCTGCAACATGGTATCTTCAGGCAACCAAATTAGAAAGGTTAAATATCCCAAAAGGAATCCACAGGGAAATAGCAGTTAGGTTATATAGACTACGTCTAGGTTACAGATGCAACTGGGAGATTGGTGAACCCCGACAGAGAGAGTGCATCTTCTGCCAAACTGTCACAGAAAAGCCATTACTTCACTCTCTACTGGAATGTGAAGCAACCAATGACCTTAGAAGAGCTTTAAGAGTTCCTGAATCATGCAGTGGCCACCCTGAAGCCATCAACACAGCCACTCTCCTGGTAAACAAAGGTGTTCAGCAGCTGGACACCCTCATAAAGACTGTGAAGCAGTATCCTCCCCCGCGATAACAGCTTGATGGTTAAAAGTAACCTCAGAATACTGAGAAAAAAAAAATTGTACCACTTACGGGCTATTCATGCCCGTGCCACCTCTTGGGTGGCTTAATCTTTATCAATCAATCAATCAGGTGGGAAAATGTTGTAAGTGGAGTGCTTCAGGGCTCTGTCCTGGGACCTCTGTTGTTTATAATATACATCAGTGATTTAGATTCAGGTTTGAGTAGCAACATTTGCAAATTTGCCGATGATGCAAAAATCGGTAGGGAAATTAACACGGAAGAAGACTCACTATCACTTCAGGTTGATCTAAATAGGGTTTTGAAATGGTCAAGGATTGGCAGATGCAGTTTAATGCTGATAAATGTAAAGTTTTGAGGCTAGGTAATGATGATAGTTACAAGATACGAACTAGATGGTGTTGAGATTGCGAAGTCGAATTGCGAAAGGGATCTGGGAATTATGATAAGTAAGAATTTAAAACAAAAGGATCAATGCATGAATGTTCGTAATAAGGCAAATAGGACACTGGGATTTATTAATCGAAGTGTTAGTAACAAGACACCTGGTGTGGTTCTTCAGCTATATCTTGCTATGGTTAGGCCCCATTTAGATTATGCAGTTCAGTTTTGGTC